AAGAACCTGGAAACAACCATGCTGCCCATCAAAAGAGGACTGGATTTAAAAAATGTGGTACATATACACGATGGAATACTACGCAGCCATAAAAAAGAACAAAATCATGAATTTCGCTGCAACCTGGATGGAACTAGAGTCTATAATACTGAGTGACCTCTCACAAAAACAAAAATCCGAATATCACATGTTCTCACTCATATAATGGACCTTGAACATCCAATGCAATACTATGAGAAAATGACGGATGGTACTGGGAAACTATGGGGGGGAGGGGGATGGGATTAACAGTAGCAAATATCGGTCGGGGGATGGGAAAACACTTCTTATCTACAGGGTGCCTGAATGAAATGTCATTGTACACCTAACCCTTAACTGTACCCCACAAAACCATAATAAAAAATACTGATTAATGAAAAAAAAAAAGTGACCATTACCTTTTTCAGACGTATAGGAAATAATAATACTGATAGATAGAAATGCCTGCATTTTTATACTCTTCCAGGATCTCTTACCTGCTCTTTGGTTTTCCTAAGAGAGCAATGAGATAGATAGGGCAGGAATTTCTTTTCCATTGGTCAAATTCACAAACCAAAGCACAAAGTATGAAAATTTGCTTCCTTAATTAAGAGCAACGGTGGCAATAGAATTATTGCCTACCTATGTGGGGTGACTTCGCTTGATCTTTTTGAGATTAATTTGCTCATCAGTAAATTAAAAGAACCAACCATTTGACCTGGTTCTTTCACCCCTGCAAAAGAATTATTCTATGCTTTTCTGACTGTGCCCACTCTCTACCTCCCATAGTGCATTTTAGTGTTCTAGGGATGGGCTCACACATTTTGGGTTCACACTCTTCCTGAATTTCTGCAAAGAAACATTTTCTAGAGCATAGACAGGGAAGAGAAACTACATTTCAGCATTTGGCTTCCCTCCTGACTGTGACTTGAGGTTTCATTTCCACATTCCCCATCACTCATGGGAGAACTTCATAGCACAGGGCAGGAAGAGGGATGAAAGGCAGTGGCCAGAGGGTGGGGAAGAGCAAACACAAACTAAATGTCGGGAGGCTGTATGGTAACCAACAGTCTCAGTTTGACTGGGCGGTGCTGTCAAGTTCTCTTACTTGGTTTATCTTGAGTGCATCTACACAATGGGCTGTGTCTGCCAGTCCATATAACAAGATGAGATCTCACCATCTTTGCAGTCTCTTAGTGGATTGCCCGTGATCCAGATCACATTCTGATTTAATGCACAATCAATAATAAAACTGTTTTTTCTTTGTCTTCATTTGTGGAGACGTTTTCTAAGATGGCAGAAGATTGTTTTAAAGTATTTTACCTATCAAATCTTCGATAATTGATACAATATGACTCTAAGCCCAACTTCAAATGTCAGCAGAGAGGAATGAGGAGATTCTCTGGGACATGATGGACCTCTGCATAAGTTCATATTGTGTTATCAATCTCACAGTTATTTTGTGTTCACTGCTCTAGCTATAAATGTGCAATCAGAAAAACAGAGATGCTATCACCCTGCTCCCAACCTTCACCCAGAAAAACTGGCACATGAACTGCGCAATGTCCCCGCCGGCCTGGCCCTGTCACATGGCAGACAGGGGGCAGCTAGTTCATGCGGTGTCACAAGCCTGGCAATCCTGCCCTGAGAGGAGCTCACCCAGGCCTTCTATGGACCATCAGTGCCTTTCTGACTCTGGTTGGGGGAACTTTCCAGAAGCAGAGCCTGTGAGAAGGAGCCCAGGGGTGTTGGGAGGAGCAGGTGCTTCAGTGATGTACTGAGGGCAGCAGCTGATGCCCAGAACTTTCCAGTCACAAGGGCCCTTTTCTGAACTTGGGGGGATGGGGTGTGTCATTTCCTTCTTATCTTCTTCCTCCAAATACTGCCTAAACAGTCATAAAAAGGAAATGGGAGGGGGCACCCTGGCCCAGGACAGGTTCCTGACAGGAAGCGACCCATTAAAGAGACAGCACAGCCCTGCACTTTGCTGGCTTTTTGGTGTCTTGTTTCAAATCAGTTTCTAGCCAACCCTGAGGGGCGTCCCAGTCTTCAGGGGTGCAGGCGGTGGTCTCCATAATCCCTGTGTTTCTTCTTTTCCCACAGCGGAGCCATGGAACATTCAGCCCCAGCAAGCGTCTCCTCCTCAACTCTACTTGCTCAACCTCTCCTGGCCTGGTGAGCTACTTCCCCCACACAGTCCAAGGGGCTCTCTCTGCTGCTACTTCACCTTTCTGAAAGAGGACCAGCCCTCCAGAGCCCGCTGACTGCTGACTGGGAGGACAGGGCTCCACAGCCACTCCTGGTAAGAAGAACCATGTTTATGCACACAGACTTTGGGAGTTGGGAGGACTACGGTTTAGTCACAGCTGCTAGTATCCAGTGTAACCTTACACAGGTTGCTATACTTCTGAACTCCCTGTTCCATGAAACAGGGCAATAACAATGAGTGTCATGAGCACCAGCAGATGTGTGGTCGGTGGAACACTGCCTAAAGAGCCACTTGGCCTGCATACACAACCTATCACATTTCACAGGGTGGTGGCTTTGCCATCTCATTGCCCATTACTTAGCCTAGTCAATCTTCATGAAACTCTCAGGGACTGAAGCTGAATTAATTCTCCCATTCACTGGGCAGGTGAGAAAACCGAAGCTCTCAGAAACAGGTGAGGCACACTTGTCAATTTCACCCCCTTAACTTCTCAGGTCCTACCCCAGCTGGACATGTACCATGCTCCAGGGAGGCCTAGGAGCTGAAGATGGATTATCAGGGCTCCACAGGGCAAATGTGGGATCACTATCTTTCCACCTCCATGAGCCTCATGTTCCAAACAAGACCCCTCAGTGGGCCTTGTCTTGTGACCCAGATCTTCTGAAAACCATCCATTCTCCCCCGAATGCCCCACACTTGTCCTGTGACACACTGTAGAATGCTCCAGGCTCGTGTTCAGGGTATGTGTGAACAAGCCCTTTGCCAGCTAAGCCTTACGCCGGAGACCTGCCATGGAATCACAGTGACCAAACCACAAAATATGTGATTCCAATACCTGAAAATATAGGGACTTGGACAGACAGGTGAAGGAGATACTTATGAACAAAGAAGACAAGAAATATATCTTTTTTTCTAAAGCAGCATGGGAAAGGCTGCTTCCTCATGATTTGATAAAATAAGATATGACCATGATAAAGTCAGGTTCATACCATTTTCAAATAAGAATGTGCATTTGTTTCAACCTCACCCCAAAGCTAGATCCTCCTACCATCCCTGTCAGATGCTGCTACTATCTTTTTGCACACTGTCTGCCAATTTCCCACGACCTTTGGTCCCACTTGGAGGAAGATTCCCCGGAGAAGAGATCTGCCTCCATTCTCAATTCCCCCACTTTTGTCTACTCTGAAGATCAAGATGTATCACATTCCTTCAGGTCTACAAAGTGTCCCCTTTTTCTAGGCTTCATTTAGTCCTTTTAATGTCTTATCTGTGACTCTCTTTAGGAACTGCATCAGTATTCTTTCTAGCTCACCTGTGGACATTGCTATTTGTTAATTTATGCCAAGAAATGTATTCCTCAATGCAGCCTGATTCACTCAGAAGTCAATTCGGGAGAACTGTTGTTGCTGCACCTTGGCTAAAGTAACTGAGTTTGATTGACTTTTGTGACAGTCCTATTGTCCCATTTGGGTCACATTGAAAATCAAGTCAAATAAAAACACCAGACTGTTTTAAACCGTGAAATACTTCAATTCAGAGCAACTCCTGTCCCCTGAAATTTTATTTTTGAATAATCTTTTTTTTAGGGGCTGGAAGACATTCAAGATTTCACAGTACAAGTCTATATTGGTTTTAGGGCAGGCTTCCAGCCTGTCCACAACAATTTGAGTCCTGACCATGGGGTGGCAGCATTGTATGTTGTAGTTTCAAGAGGCTTGTTTGAATCGTCTCTTTTCTCCCTGTAGAATCAGAGAATACATAGGCAAAAAAAGCTGCTTCCTGATATGAGCTCCATGATAAATATGAGATGTTGGCCTGGTCATTTGATGTTCATTTTCCTGATATTTTAATAGAAATATTAAATACCAATCCTGACCACATCACAGAAAATTTAGGAGAATTAAAATAAAAGAATTTGTAAACTATAAGCATGTGCACAGAGGACTAACAGGATGATGAAATTTATTATCAATATTATCATCACTGATTATCACTCAGGACTGATTGATTATTATCACTCAGTAGCACTCAGAATTATTATTATCACTCAGGAAATGTCATTTAAAGTAGAAGCGATGACAGGGAATTGGGGCAGTTCTAGCAAAATCCAGAGCATAATTTACCAGAAAGAAACAAGAGCAGTGTATGGAGGAAAGAAAAATGCTCTTCTCTGGGCTCAAGGAAAAGAAAGAAGAAAGTGAAAGAAAGGAGGGGAGAGAAGAAGGAAAAGGGAAGAAGAAGAGGAGCGGGAGGGAAGCTGTCTTTATATTCTGGTAATGTGAAAATGGATAATTTTTCCTTAAAAAGACCAAGAAAATTCACTGAATGAATGGAAAAATGTGTGAAAAAAAATAGAAATAACCTAAATAGCAAATACACCATTTAAAAATCCTTTTGAATTCCATGGCAATCAAAAAAATGCAAGTTTAAGCCAATTAAATCATGCATATTTGTGCCCATAAAGATGACAAGAATTTAAAAGTGTAATATCACCAATTACCTATGAAGATTCAGGGACTTCTTACATATGGTTGGTGCAAATATAAGTTAGCATAACCCCTTGGAGTCATATTTGCCAATATCTAGTCAGATGGAAAATGTATATCCCCAGTAATTTGTTGTGTGACGTCAGAAAGTATTGCACTGAGCAGAAAAAATGAGTTGGTCTTAAATTTGTCCTGAAGTTGATTCTTTCTCTGCAGTCATGGGATCACTTTCTCTCCACTAACTGTTTAGGATGGAAAAAGGCAGACATGCCCCATCCTTCTGCAGGACTTTCTCTCACATTAATCCTTGGGGTCTGTGATCTCAAATTCCACCGTTCCATTGGAGAAGACTTTGTATTTCCTTCTTTGAGGCTGGAATGTCCATCTAACACAAAGTTTCTGGGACTGGAAATTTCCAGTACTTCAAACAGACCAATGTTATTTACAGCAAGGCATTTTTTTCCCCTCTATTCTGGCACGTTCACCTGCTTTGATTCAAATTTTTTAAATGTACCACTCCTTGTTCCATAGAAGAATGCTTTCTTCATGTCATGCCTTTCCCGTTAGGGGAGATAATCAACTGATTTGCTTCAAAACATTTCCTGCTTTTCTGCAAGCTGGGGGGGGGGGGGGGGGGGGAGGAA